CAGCTGGCCGACCAGAGTGGGCTCTCCCTCCGACCGGCCCACTAAGCCAGCGTGGCCCATACGACCAGGTCCGTTCCGTCCTACAAACTCCGCATCCCCCCTGCTCTCTTCTTCCATAACCGCCGCGCCGTAGCGTAGCTTCCCTCCTCTCTCCTCCTCCGCTCCGTCGCCGTCGCCGTCGCCGTTGCCGACGCCGGACGGAGCGAAGCGCCGCCCGCGCTCCACGGGTAAGCCCCGCCCCGCCCCCCACCGAATGCATGTGAAACCCCTCCCCCGCTCGCTCGCGCCGCGCCCCCTGCACCGGAGCGCGCGCGACCGCGCGGCTCGGCACCGCTCGAGAGGCCCTACGCTAGCCTCGTCGTCGTCGTCGGCGGCGGCGGTGCTTCGCGCGGCTGCCGCAGCGGCGCAACCCCTGTGCTCCTCTCTCTCGCTCGCTCGCCCTTCCCCGAACAGAGCGCGCGCGACTGCTCTGCTCGGCTCGAGAGGCCCTACCCTGCCTAGTCGTCGGCGCGGCGGCGGAACTCTCGTGCTTATGTCTCGCTGTTCCCCGACGAGAGCGCGTCGGTAATTTCCTGCTTCTGTTACTGATCGATTTCATTTCCGCGCCTCTCGCTGATGAACAGGGCGTGCGACTGACCCACCGATGGCCGCCAACGAGGGAGACGGGACCGGAGCGGGCGCGGCGCCCACCGTCGTCGGGCTGGCGCTCGGCGGCTCCGAATCCAGCGCCTACGTCCTCCAGTGGGCGCTCGCCAACTTCGCCAGGGACGACGCCGCGCCTCCCGCCTTCAAGCTCATCCACGTCCTCACCCCGGTCCTGGCCGTGCCCACTCCAAGTACGTACGCACGCCCCGCTCCTTCTTACCTCGTCGCTTCCGCCCGCTTGAGTCGCTTCCGCTGCATGCTCACCATCTGTTTGTGTTTGTGCTTGTGCCTGTGCGTGGCTTGCCTTCAGTGGGGGGCCGCCTCCCGATTGATGAAGTCAAGTCCGCCGTCGTCGACGACTATCTCGGAAAAAAGTGGATCAAGAAGCAGCAGATGCTGTTCCGCTGCAAAGACACATGTGATGAAAACAAGGTGGTTTCAGTTAGCAACTGTCCTCCATTTTCGTTTCATGTTCTAGACTGAATCTGAATGAATGGATCGACCCCCTTGTATGTTGGTTGGATTTGTATCTGTTTACTTAATTGGATCAGGTTGGCTTGCCTTAACAAGTAGGAGTACTCCATTTCCATTTCATATTCCACACTGAATGAATGCATCAGCCCCTTTGTCTGTTGGTTGAATTTGTTTGTTTACTTACTAGTCACAGGTTGACTTGCCTTAACAAGGAGCATGTTTCCATTTCCTATTCTGGACTGACTGACTGACTGAATGCATCAACCCCTTGTCTGTTGGTTGAGTTGATTTCTTTACTTTCTTGGCTCAGGTTGAAGCTCAAGTACTACTTGCTAATTCAAATGCATGTGGGTTGGGTTTAGTTGTTTACTTAATTGGCTCAGGTTGACTTGACTTAACAAGTAGTCTGTTTCCATTTCATATTCTACACTGAATGAATGCATCAACCCCTTGTTTGTTGGATGAATTTATTTGCTTGCTTACTTGGCACAGATTGACTTGCCTTGACAAGCATATCTCCATTTCCTGTTCTAGGCTGACTGGATGAATCAACCCCTTGTCTGTTGGTTGAATTAATTTGTTTATTACTTACTCGGCTCAGGTTGAAGCTCAAGTACTGCTTGTTGAGGGTAACGATGTCGCGGATACCATTTCCAGTCTTGTTTCTCAGTACCAGATACAGATCCTCGTTGTCGGTAACTCTTCCAGCATGATCCCATTCACTAGGTAGCTCCTCATACTCATACCTGTACTGTACTAATTCGTGATGAATAATAATTAATGTGCATGCTCCTGTTGATCATTGGATGATATATGTCTTATAGGATGTCCAGTGCAAGTAGGAAGTCCTCCAAAATCTGCAAGAGTGTCCCCAGCTTTTGCACAGCATATGTTGTTTCAAAGGATGGATTCTCTTCAGTTTATGCTTCTGAATCAGAAAGTGGCTCGCCCTCTGGCTCTCTAGTACCAAAAGGCAACTCCGGGAGCTCCGAGACCGAAGAATTTATAGACTCCTCAATATCAGGTAAGGCCGCATAGTCGTCAAGCTACCATCAAATATTTCTCATGTATTGTTCCCTTGCTGTGCATCTTTGGCGTGCAGTATATTCCTTCCTGTTTCTCATTGCTGCTGGAACTGTGAAACTGCAGCAAGCTTGCATGAAGACATAAGCCTATTATTGTTTCTAGTACTTGGCTTAAAAGTATAATCTCAAATGCAAAGATAGACAAGTTGGAGTTGCTTATTTCCCCTTCTCATCATCTGAATGTTACCTGTTCCCTTGTTTCATCAGATTTGGATGACAGTTCAGGGCGGGGCCTGTCTGGTTTTCCAAGCCTGCCACGCTCCAACCTGGCATCAGAGAACCTCGAAAGTGTTTCATCTGTTGAAGGTTTTAATCTATATGATTATGTCACTGGAAATGCATCAGTATATGCCAACAAGGACAGAAGAATTACCCCATGCACTGGTGCTCAAAGCTCTATATCAAGTCAATTTCAGGGTTCAGACAAGGTGCCAACAAAAGAAAGTTCACTGCTGGGATTCATGCTTTCAGACAACAAGGTTGGTGGTGCAATTTCTTGGTTATTGACAGGATTTTAATTATATGAACGTCTTCATTGGTACTATATTTACGCATCCAACTCATAGCTTTTGTTTTGGTTAATTGCAGGGTTCGGACAAGGTGCCAACAAAACAAAAATCACTGCTGGGATTAATGCTTTCAGAGAACAAGGTTAGTGGTGCAATTTCTTGGTTATTGACAGGATTTTAATTATATGAACGTCTTCACTGAAACTATATTTAAGCGTCCAACCCATAGCTTTTGTTTTGATTTTTTTCCCCAGATAACAGTTAATATATTAAAATTCCCCAGTTTTTCGCTAACTTTGCCACAGTAATTTGTTTTCCTCCAATCCAATTGATAATGAGTTACTATGTAGTTGGCCACGTGCCTTATGGATCGTGAATTATTATAGATGCATTCCTTAATTAGGCAAATTTACTGTTGCGCTGGAAAAAGATATGAATGGAACATGCATATTTTGTGGATTGCACTCTAACTCTGTTCTGCTCTCATAACCTGTGCCAATGCAGGATGATATCAGTACAGAGCTTGAAAAGCTGAAGCTTGAACTGGGACATATACAGGGAGCATACAAACTCGTTCAGGATGAGTTGGTCGATGCATCTCATCAGGCAAGTCAGTGGTGTGTCTGCTGTCAAAAAGGGTGAATTTACCAATTCAGCACAAATGTTTAAATCATCTTGCCTCTGATCCTTATTGATGTCGATCAGGTGAATGAATTAGCTGCCAGGCGCATGGAAGTGGAAGCTCAGTTAAGTGAGATACAGGCCAGGGTGGATAAGGCCAATGACGATGTACAGGAACAGATGGCGCAGAGACTCCTCGCAGAGGAGGCAGCAACCCAATTAAAGGATCTTGTGAGGGCGGAGGTTATGCAGAAAAATAGGCTGCTGGCAAAGGCATCCAAGGACGCTGATAGGAAGGCGAGGCTGGAGAAGCTCCTCGTACTTCAAGGCGACTCGTACTCGACGTTCACTTGGGAAGAGATTGATAGCGCTACAGCATCATTCTCAGAGTCACTCAAGATCGGAACTGGGTCTAATGGAACGGTATACAAGGGCCATCTCAACCACTTGGATGTAGCGATAAAGGTCCTTCATTCTAATGACAGCTCCAGTACCAAGCATTTCAACCAAGAGGTACGTACTGGCTGAATTCATTCTGTGCTTCTTCTTCTTCTTCTTCTTCTTCTTCTTCTGGTGAGCTGTTTGTTTATTAGGCAGCACTGTGTGTGGTTTTAATGGCCTTTTCATCATGACACAGTGAAGCAGCTAGGGTCCCATCTTGAGAATTTTCATGTCAAGTTATTAAGTGACAATGTTCAAAAAAAGTTGATGCAAGTGCCTGTTTCTGCAGCTTGAGGTTCTGAGCAGGATACGCCACCCACACTTGCTGATGCTCCTGGGAGCCTGTCCGGACAAGGGCTGCTTGGTGTACGAGTACATGGAGAACGGCAGCCTTGCGGATCGTCTGCAGCGCAGAAAGGGCACACCAGCGATCCCATGGGTTGATCGCTTCCGCATTGCCTGGGAAATTGCGTCAGCCCTGGTGTTCCTGCACAGCACAAAGCCCAGCCCAATCATCCACCGTGACCTCAAGCCTGAAAACGTGCTCCTCGACAGCAACCTAGTGAGCAAGATTGGTGACGTGGGCCTGTCAACCCTGATGCCGCACAAGGAGACTCTGTCAAACCGCACGGTGTACAAGAGGACGGGTCTGGCGGGCACGCTGTTTTACCTGGACCCGGAGTACCAGAGAAGCGGGCAGGTGTCGGTCAAGTCGGACACGTACGCGCTTGGCATGGTGATCCTTGAGCTGCTGACGGCCAGGCCACCGATGGGGCTGCCTGAGCTGGTGGAGCGAGCAGTGGAAGACGGCCAGATTACTGATGTCTTGGACACGAGTGCAGGGGACTGGCCCGTGAAAGAAGCGCATGAGCTTGCCCGGCTAGGGCTAAACTGTTTGGAGATGCGGAGCAAGGACCGGCCCGACCTCAAGAGCGTGGTGGCGGTGGACCTGGAGCGGCTGAAGCATAGCACGGCCGTGCCAGGCTTGGCCGGGCCGCCCAGCCACTTCATGTGCCCAATACTCAAGGTACGTACGGTTTTTTTCTACAGTAGATTTATGGATGTGGCAGTTAGTGTGATAGATAGATAGACAGGCTGATCATTTGGTGCATGCATGGACGTGTGATTGATACAGTTCATGGATGTGTGTGTGTGTGTGGTTTGTGCAGAAGGTGATGAAGAAGCCGTGCCTGGCGGCGGACGGGTACTCGTACGAGCACGACGCGATAGTGATGTGGCTGTGCGACCAGAACACGTCGCCGGTGACCAAGGCGCAGCTGCGCGACAAGAAGCTGGTGCCTAACCTGTCTCTGATGAGCGCCATCGCGAGCTGGATGGCCCAGGGGGGGAGGCCTTATCTGAGTGAGTGAGTGAGGCTCATGCATGGTAAATACGATCGAAGCTAGTCTAACAGAGTGCTGCACATATCATCGGGGCTTGCCGAGGAGTTTATCACCAGCTTAGGAGATCGTCAAAAGACGATGGTATCTTGCGGCCGCTGCATGGTTCACGATTGAAAACAGAGCGAAAATACAATGAAAGATTATGTTGTAGTCACCAAAGAGTCTTGAGCAATCATAGTAGGTCCTTTGCAAGATTTATTTGGAATGTCTCACGCCTTGTGTAAGTAACCTTGGTTTATTATGTCAAGCCCCACATGTGAGTAGAAGTACATTTGTTTATTTTTATGGCCCCACAAGTGAACTCATAACCGACTCGCTGTTTTGGTTACCGGTCGAAATTTCAAAATTTTCCATGGTTACCGCGTATTTCCGTGCCCCTCGGTAAATCACCATACCGAGCAAAAAATACCATTTTTTTGAAAATTTTGAATTTAACCACTCAATTTACTGTAAAGTACGTAGGATCTACTTAATGCCATGAGAGTTGGTTCTGGCGTGTTGATAGCACCCTAGTTCATGTTTTGAGAGGTCTCTGGTTCGAATATTCATTCATCCACTTATTTGAATTCAAAATTCAAATACAAAATTCGCTCAAAATATTTTCGGTATTTCTCGGTAACCGTGGTAACCACATTTATCAGTCCCCCTTGGTAAAATTGCCTCATTCGGTAACCAAAACCTTGAACCGACTCCAACCTTTATAAGTAGGAAAGATATCTTGTCATCATGTACAATCAATTATCATATGAGCACTAGGTAAGATGTTTTGGTGTATTTTACCTAACATAGGAAAATCCTATTTAAAATTAAGTATCAATTGGATCTAAAGCAGAAATGTGACTATTACCATGAAAAAGGCTTGCACTCCGATATATAAATAAAGCACCGCCCACATACAACCCAACTCATACAACTCGACACCACATGACACACAATTAATCAAGACAAGATACATCCACTCCAAGCAAACTGCATGTAAGAAGAAGGGCACCACTTGAAGTTTCTAAAGTCATTCACCATGAGTGTGGGTCACCATGAAGAGACGAAAATCGTGCATGATGAACTGAGTACTACAAGGCGACACCTTCAGGAATGGCACCACCACCTTCCATTCAGGGATTAAGGTTTCCCCAGAGCAACATGGAGGACGAAAAGGAACCGATGCTTTCAAGTAGGATATGACGGCCATAGGGGCCGTCGCCGTCGTCCTGGCAGACCAAAGCTAGTCTTCACCCAGGGAACCCTCTTTGCATCCAAGATGTAGTACAACAAGCCACGAGAACACTCATCGTACCTTGGCCACTACGCCGCTCACACGACCATGACAACCAGCCAACACCCGAGACGCGAGCTCCGCCCATGAGCACCACGACCCCACCTCCAAGGCCGCCACCTCGACAACCATGGCCCTGACGCCAACCCCACCCCAGACTTGAGAAGCGCAGGGGAAGGCACCTCCTCCCTCACTCCCCAGACG